AATGCCACTCGACAACTTCATTGCTTGTGCCATCGCCAACTAATCATACCTTCGTCGAGTTGATCCGGTGCGGGCACCGTGCCAGCCTACGGCCGCCTCTGCTGGGATCCCAAAATCCATCCCCTAAAACCCGATATGGGACTTTCCGGAAATAGGGGACCCTAATATAGTACCCTAAATAGTAGGATCCCTATTATAAGGGTCCCAAAATAAGGTACCCCTAATATTCGGAAACTCCCATATGAGGGCCTTAGCGCTTAGAATCAGGTTTTGGGGTATTGCATACTGATGCTAATATACGGAACCGCAAGGAAGAATGGTACCAACGATATAGGCTGCTGGGCTTCTTTATGGTTTGTATCCCGACCGCTTTACCCCAGGTGACGCTTTTTTTTGCACAGGCTTGTGTGAATCCCGTTTCCTTTTTTCCACAGGCTTGATTAGTGCTCGCCCGGCCAGGATCCCCAAGCACACCGCACTCGTGGCGAGATGCTGAGGCTAAGTACGCACAATACGCATTATCTCGGGATTCCTAAACCCTAAACCCCTACATCATTATTACTCCTACTTGTCGGGTATCATGGGGAACTAAAGGTTAACCTTTTTGGGTATGTAGGGATCATATAGGGACTATACTACCCCAAAAAAGGTTAAAGGTTACCTGCTCTACTACTAGGGTTACTTAGAGGTCGGCCCTCTGGGATCCGGACGAATCGATACTTTGTCGGCCTCGCGGAACGGGCGAGGGCAGAAACTCGGGAGTCCGCTGCGGGGGCTTCTTTTTTAAGTGTAGGGCACCTTTAAAGTATGGGGCTTAGGGTCGGGGTCACAATCACGAAGATTAGGGGTTACAAGGGTCCCTTGAGTCACTCTGAAACTTGGCAAAGTTTCCGACCGTGCCCTGATAGGCTGAGAGACTACGACTCCAACGAAGCTTGTCGGACTATTGTCTGGAAGCAGAGCAATAGCAGGAATGACATCGCAACGGGAATGCTGAATCTGAAAGACAAGTACATCTTGCCTGGAAAGGTACTTTACCAGTTTCATGCTGCGGTGCCGCCGCGCCCCCTCCTGCACGTGAGAAACCAAAGGATCTCAGGCGAACCCTCGCCTAAGTACACCTTTGCTCCTGTGCGTGGTATGTTTTTCCAACGTTTCTATTTATGTGTTTGCTGCTTCGCAGAATGTTCTCAGCCGGGACGCCATGACACCCGAGTCTGCAAGCGTGGTGTAGCTTCCCGTGTGGTCTTCAAAACACAGTTTAACTGACAGCTGCGTCCTCGTTGCGTCCGTCGCTGATTTGCACAACCTTCGCGAAGCATGACGGTGCAGCACTTGGGATTCTGGACCCTCTGCCCTAAACCCTTTGGCAAAAAGGTTTCAGTCGTTCCTGCCTCTGCACCAAATCGTTTCGCAAAGGTTGCCGGCTCGGTCGGAGCGTCTACCTCCAACATACAGAGGCCCTAAAACTGGAGTAACGCTGTAGTACAATTATAGTCTGTTGTATGTTCTGATGATGAAGGCCCTATATGATAGACACCGGGGCTGCTCATGTCCGAATTCTGGACACGGGGTCCAGGATCTGGCTCCAGTATGTGCAAGGAAATGAAGTGGATTGTTTCAAGATGACAGGGCTCAGGGTTGTTTCAACGTGTTATGGAATTTCGTGCTTCAAGAACGATGTGGAAAAGAACGCTTTTTGCGCCTGCAGTGCCATAGCATGAACACCAAGTAGCATATACCACGGTGACGCTCCAGGGATGCGGTGTAAAAGTGCGGAGTCACGAAGCTTGGCGCTCTTTCTTCCGGAATCACAAAACGAAACACTACCCCAAGCCCCATACCCTTTAGGGCTTTGGTTAGGGTGTAGGATTTAGGGTTCAGGGTTTAGGGTTTCAACCAAAGCCAGAAGTTCAGAAGTTTACGGCTCGAAAACTCACTACGCAAAGCTGGACACGCAGCCAATTTTCTACGAGCATCGCGTGCTACGTTGTGACTATAACGGTACCCAAAACACCCCAAGCGAATTGCAAGGACGACAGAAAGAAGCAGGAGAACAGCCCTGACTGAAGTCGCCCTCCTGGCTTTCTCACCTCGAGGTTGAGGTGAGTCACGAGCACGGGTTTCCCACGCCACTTGGAGGCCTGGGTTGTAGGTACATACAGGTGAGTGTTTAGGGTTCAGGATGGAACAAGGTTTATTCGGTTTAGAGTGTAGGGTTGGAGTTTTGGCTTCACTCAGACTCCCTTCGGTGCGAAGCCGAACAGCTCCAAAGCCTGTGAAAGGATGCTTCAAAATTGCTTACGTTTCAAGGCTTGAACACTTGCTTGCGAAATGCTCTCGGCATGAAGCGGTGCCGTTTTTGCGCATGCTTGTGTCAATCCCGCCTGGATGTGCCGCACCTCTTCTCTGAAAAAACCCTAAACCTAAACCGCCGTATTGTAGTTATGTAGTTCGCAGACAGAAAAACAACGAACCAGCGCCCCCGAGCGAAGACCTGCCGGACGTACTTAAAGGATCATGGGACTTAATAGATACAGTAGGTTATACTTGGGGTTATAAGTCCCCGAAGCGGGGTTATCAGAACTCTAACCTACTTATAACTTATAACCTTACTTACTAAGTCCCATGAACCTTTAAGTACCCTTTCTCATTCTGTCTCTTTCCATCTGCCCCGTACTTTCACTCAGTCGCATGCTTCCTGGCTTGCCCACGTACTTTGACACACACACACACACACACACACTGACACACACACACACACACTCACACACACACACACACACTCACACACACACACACTGACACACACTGACACACACTGACACACTGACACACTGACACACTGATACACACACACACACACACACTGACACACACACACACACACACACTGACACAGACACACACACACACACACTGACACACACACACACACACTGACACACACACACTGACACACTGACACACTGACACACTGCACACACACACACACACACACACACACACACACACACACACACACACACACACACACACACACACACGCACCCACACACACACACACACACACACCCACACACACACACACACACACACACACACACACACACACACACACACACACACACACACACACACACACACACACACACACACACACACACACACACACACACACACACACACACACACACACACACGCACGCACACGCACACACACATTTGTGGCTCTCTCACTGAAAGGTTGCTGCTCGCGACTGCGAGGTTCGTTTGATGGGGGTATGTACGGTACGACAAATACTGTGGAGCAGCTCACACTTCGTGAGTGGATTTGGGGTTATTTTGTGCCTCGTTCGACAAAACCGATGGCACAATGTCAAATCCTGCGGCATGTGGCGAAGTCGTCCCAGGTAAGATCTTGTGCGCTGATGCGTGGCAAATCGCATCTTCCTTGGCTCGCATGAAAGCTCTTGGTTGCAACTTGCACTCTTGATGAGGAGTTATCGGCAGTTTCTGCTCACGCACGACCCGGAGTCCAGAGGTTCTAGGGCCTCCGTAGAGTCTGCAAGCAGGTGCTCGTTGAAGGATTTCCGGAGTAGAGCTCCTACCGATCCGAAGTGCTCACTAGTCACTAGCCACCCTCAAAATCCGTGGGCCGTTTGGGTTGACGGTGTAGCTGCAACAGAAGCTGTACCGGAAGATGTGGCGGAGCTGTAACGGGAAGCCCTCATGAATGCGTCGCAACATACCAGTACCCCGAAAGCGTAACATCATGTCTGCGCCAGACAGTCGCAAAATGTCTTAGTACATGATGATAGAGAACACCCGCCCCACCAAAGAGCTTACAGCAGTTACATAACACAACAATGAGCCTCTGACAACCTATGAGAAGTTATCCTAAAAAACCTATCCCGAACCTGATCCCTTGTTGCAAAACCCTAGGCCTGAGTCCTAGATCCCCGAAACCCTCGAGCCTCAACTCCACAGCCTAAACCCTAAACTTTTAAACCCTAAAACCCCAAACCCTCAAACCCTAAACCCTAAAGACCAAAACCCTAAAACCCAAAAACCCTAAGCCCGCAGATCCGAGAGGCTGTTGGCAGAGTCGACTTTGACTACGCCCAGGAGAAGGAGCGCGCCAAGCATGGCGCATGCAGGCGGGTTTTTGGTGGTTGGTTTTGGGGGTTTGTGGTTTGAAGGTTTTGAGGTGGGGGGGTTTGCGGGGGTTGAGGGTTGAAGCGTTTTGAGATTTTGGGATTGCAGATTTCGGGTTTCGGTCGTAAAGCTTACGGCTTTCGGCTTTAAGGCAAGTGTTCAGGAAATCGACCACGGCGGTGAACGTGTATGTAGGTTTGATGTGATGGAGCCCCAACCTGCCTCGGTAGACTTCTTCTTAAAAGCGGCAAGAAAACCACGTGTGGACTTGTCGATAGTTTCGAACTCATCCGGCTGGAGCTCTGCGGCATCATCGTGTTCATACTATGGCTGAATGGCTGAACAGCTAATGTCACGAAGAGTCACGATGCTCTCCCCAGCTTGAGCTGGCGCAGCAGCGACAAAAAGCAGCTCGAAACCGAGCCCCCGCTCACTTCCGAATTCCTCAGGATGATCCTCCAGCTCAATGCTTGAAAGCCCGCCAACCCAATCCTTGTATCTTAATCCCTAAACCCCTTTACATACCCCAACATGCACTCCTAATCCCTGACCCCCAAACCCTCGTTGAACACCCCGAAACCCCTAAACGCCTATATAGTAACACTGAAAGGAACCTTTCTACATCCCTTTAAAAGAACCCTTTTATAGAACCCTTACTTAAAGGATCATGGGACTTAGTAAGTAGGTTACAACTGGGGTTACAAGTCCCCTAAGTGGGGTTACCCTAATTATATCCTACTTATAACCTTACTTACTAAGTCCCATGAGCCTTCAAGTACACGAGCTCTGCCCACAAAAAAGGGAAGGATCCGAGACTGGGAAGTTGCTCTGCCGAGCCGTGCCTGGGTTGGAAAGTGAAGAGGTAGTAGACCTGAGAGGCTTCGATTAAGGCCCTTTAAAGGGAGCTATAGGGGATCTAGAGAGGCTTCGATGTAGGGCTTAGAAGGGTTTAGGGGTTAGCGCTTCAGGGTTTAGGGTTTCAGGGTTAGGGTTTGAGGGTGCATTTGCCTCCTACCAGGGTTGAGAGTCTTCGTGCTTTTCCTTGCTTCGGTTTAAGTTTAAATTTTAGGGTTTTGTTTGAGGGTTTAGGAAGCTTAGGGTTACCACATAGTCACAAAAACTAGACAGCTTAGGGCTACAGGTTTGAATCTGAGGGCTGACAGCTTTCTTGGCTAATGCTCTCATATTTCGGACAAGCCAGATGAGGGCTCATCGGCACCTTGGTTTTCTTATACGTTTGCGTCTTAATCATTTGGTTAGGGCTTTCTGGTAAAATATATGGTACAGTTGTAATACGGAACTCAAAGGAATGTCTCTGCTGTCGTTGGGCGCATTGGTGAGAATCTTCAACTGTAGACAGTCCATCTCAGACTTAACGCAGGGTGTGGATGTAATTTGGACTGGGGTCGCTTGGTGGGAAGGGTGGGGGTCCTCGCTACCAAGTTTTTTCAGCGGGCATTCATAATTATAATAGGGTTTGGGGGCCCATTATACTATAATTATAGTAAAGAACCCCCAAAAATAGTATTGGCAATTATTCAGGCCCCTATATTAAACGGCTTAAACATCCACTTCCATAATGCGCCCCGCAGGCAAGCTGCAGTGTCACGCCGGATCTTGCCCATCATCACCTGGGACAGGCTGCAGTTTCTGAGGGGTTTAGGGTTTATACGGGTTTAGGGCTCAAGGCTTTTAGGATCCATGTGGGGGTTTCCAAAAATTAGGGTACCTTATTTTGGGATCCTGATAATAAGGATCCTACTATTTCGGGTGCTATATCAGGGTCCCCTATCTTCGGAAACCCCCCATGTTCCGGGGCTTAGGTAACAGGACGTACGTCATTGTTTCTCTTAGCTTCGAACCCTGGGCCCCTTTCTCTACAGTGCCTTAAAGGTTTCGGCGCTCACACCCGGACAAGCCAGGCGAGGTTCTTGGTGCATAGTCGGTTGAGGCGAAACACTTTCCAAGACTGCTCGTTTCTTAAATGAAGGCTTATACAGGGGTCTTAATAATTACCACCACTATTTTGGGGATTCCTTATTGTACTTGTAGTATAATGGGCCCCCAAACCCTGCTCTAATCAGGCCCCTATTTTATATTAACCGGATCTGCGCTGAGGCAGCCCCCTGAATCAACAAGGGCAGCCGCATGGGCGAGGTTCTCAAAGAGAAGCCCTCATCCCGTAAGCATGTGGGTAGTTCACGACATAGGGTCCCTTTTTGGTCCCCAAAATAGTACGGCACCCTTATAAAAAGAACACTAAAAGGGAGCGTAATTTAGAGAACTACCAATGTATGTCTCTTACAAAACCAGGTCGGCGGAAAGCCGGCCTGAAAGGCTTTGTATCCGTCGAGCTTGTACCTTGGTCTGCGGATGGCTTAAGGTTCTTCGGCGTTTGATGTCGGAGGGACATCGCACTTTCAGCAGATACCATGAGCAGCGGAGGTCACAACTGCCAATCCAAAGCCCCAAAATCTTGCTTGCTGATGGGACAGAACATATTATCTACTATACTATATATATATATATATATACACTATATATATATATATATATATACACTATATATATATATATATATACACTATATACATATATATACTATGCATAAGCTTGTGGTGCGAAGCGGATTGACTTCACAACCCTTCGGCCCTTCGATCTTGATTTAGGACACATTTAGGAAAGGCCCTAACTCTGAACACCCCGGATTGTTCATACAGAAGTCCATTTTGTGGAGGGCTCTGAGAACTCACCACTTCTGAACAGACTGTCGCAGCTGTTAGTCTTGAGACATGTTTGGCATGAGCCGACCAAAGTACTACTTGCATTCTTTCGAATGGTCTTGATCAGGGTGTACGTAGTGTCATGCAAAAAGATTATCTCAACCTGGCTCATAATCCTCAAAGCACTGCAGGTGAAATGGATCTGGCCATGCCAAAGCAGATGAGCTGCTCCACCAACGGATCTCTTTGTCCGTAACTCCGGAGCTTTGAGTAGTTCCTCGACGGCGAGGTGTCTTCGGCTTCTAGGAATGCAGACTCCAAAGCGACGAGGCATGCCCTTGTTTTCAGCAACACCTTTGCATACAACAGTATGCCACCGGCTCCGATCAGAGGTGTCGCCAGTCTCTCCCGTGATGCCTCAGGAAGGTCATGTATTTCAGGTGCTTCCGCCAGTAGTTGTCAATCTGCATCAACAACACCTGCCATGGGCCGATACATGGGCTTGAGCATTCGACTGCACCCCAAACCCCAATGCTTGAACTTCCAAATGAAGGCTTGTGGCCGGACATTCCAACACTCGACTGGTCATGATCTCATGAGTTCATTGTGGTTGCCGCCATCTGGATTTGCACGTTGCAGGATGCCGTCACCCGGCAGAAAGGAGTGCTTCACGAGGTTCTTGACAGGTATTTGAGTCGGGGGACTGCCTGGCTCTAGAAAAGCTGCAGAAAGATCATAAGTAAGCCGCTGGCCCTAAACCCTCAACAGCTGCTGATGCCTTGCTAGGTGTTGTCGCTTTGCCACTGTGCTTTACGAGATGTAAGCTAAACTCAGCTGAGGCAGCAAGCCCTGCCTGCCGGAACACCGCGCGGTGCAGCTGCGGTGCATCCTCGTCGATCCTCTTCTCTGTATTTTCTGGAACTCAGAACTAGGTGAGTCGGCCGCAGCCTAGGGCCGTGTCGCTACACTTCAAACTCCAGTCATAATCATGCGAGTGCATCTACGCCAATATGGGAGTTTCCGAAAATTAGGGACCTTATTCTGGGGCTATAATCATAATAAGGAACCCCCACAATAGTATTGGTAGTTGTTTAGGTCCCTATAGTACACACCAGCAGCTGGTGCAAATTCATGCAGTCTGTGCTGTTCAGAGTGGAGCGGTCCTCGCGGCTTTGCGGTCGATTGCCTCCCATGTGTCCATCAACACGCACATAAAGCCATGTGTGAGACACTTGCAAAATCAACTCAGTTCGCACCGACGTGTGTGACACACATGTACGTGTCTCTAGTTACCCATGCAGTAGGTCTATGCAGCTGCATACATCCATCACTGTACATACATGTACAGGGTCTTATTTTGAGATATCCCGGGTCAGGATTTAAAACCTTCAAGGCCGTAAGCTTCGTCGGATTATCTGCCATGGGTCCTGATGAGTAGAAGTTCCTCAGAGCACTTCGATGACTTGGTTCCGCAAAACAAGCGCTGCCGCGGTATGGGTATGGGGTTTAGGGTTTAGGGTTTAGCTGGGTGCTAAACTGCATGGTGTTTCGTGATGCAGCTTTCCCAGATACAAACCACAACCCCCTTGTCCTTTTAGAAATAATAGACGGAGCCCTATACCTATATCCCTAAGTAGGAATTATTTAAGAAGGACCAGGCTGAACCACAAACCCACGCAGTTTCACGAGGTGAACAGAACAGAGATCCTCTGGTCGCGGCAGGCGATGCTTGAGGACTGTCTGGTTCCCGAACCATGAAATACCAAGTGCAGAACCACTGTTTGAGAATTCTTCTAAATGGGAGGTTCTTAAGGAGTCGTGCTTAGCGCTCTGGGCCGCAGATTCGGCCAAACGACCAGACCCTAAACCCTCCCACCCTACCCTCGTCTAAAAACTGGGTCCTGTTACAGAATATACGCTACCTAAATAATCATAAACCATAGTGTTTATGATAGATCCCTATCATGGCAATTCAAGCTACAGTTCCTGAAAGAGAACCAAACAACCTCGAATCGCCGAACATATAAAAACCCTTACATAGAATTTATATAAAACCTGCAAGAAGTAGGTTTCGCCTAACATATATGAACTCATTTTGAACCCTAACATAGAATTTTAATATAGGGACCCCCTAAATCCTAAACCGTGTAGTAGTAAAGCAGGGACCGGCCTCCAGGCCCTCACGTTGCACCCAGCATCTTAGGGCTTCGCAGCCCTGGGTCGTGTTGGGGGGCTTCAGGTTTAGGAATAGTTTCCGGGTTTAGGGCTTTAGGTTTCAGTGCTCAGGGTTTAGAGCTTTACAGCTTCAAGTTTTAGGGTTGGGGTTGTAGGGTTTACGGTTCCAGGTTTGAGGTTCCGGGGTTTGCACCAGGTGTATGGTTTAGGGTGTCGCAATGACTTCATATTACCTGTCCAGAACTTTGGGTCTTTCAAGCGTAGCCTTCGATGCTGTAAGGCGTTATGACACCCCAGAAAAGCCTAAGCTCTGAGCTTCACTGCTGAAGCAGAAGTTGGGTGTTGAAGGGTTTGGCGAAATACAACTGCATCTTTCGTTGCTTCGAGCTTCAGTTGTCCAGCGGAACACTGGGAATTCGTTTGGAATCCTACAGGAACTAAACGAGAAGCTCTTGTTTCATTATGCTTCATTTCTTGCTGTGATGAAAAACCTACTTACTCTAAACCAGTAACCAGTCAGATCGTGCATCCGTGCGCTGGGTTTGCTTTGCTTGACCTAACCACTCCACTAAACCGCCTCCCCAGCTGCGGCCGCATCTTTTGCCTTCAGTCAGAGTCGTAACGGAACTACGTCGAACTAGTGCTACGGATGTTGACACTCCACACGTCACACTTACGCAGTCGCTGTGATGGGTAGTGGTGGTGGTGGTGGTGGTGGTGGTGGTGGTGGTGGTGGTGGTGGTGGTGGTGGTGGTGGTGGTGGTGGTGGTGGTGGTGGTGGTAGTGGTGGTGGTTCGTGCGTGTCTGCAGTCTATAGATGTGAAACCCAAGCAAATACTTCCGCTCTGCGTGTGTTTCAAGTCAAGTGGGAGTTCCCGAAAATAGGGGACCCTAATATAGCACCCTAAATATTAGGATCCTTACTATAAGGACCCCAAAACAAGGTACCCCTAATTTTCAGAAACTCCCAAGTGGTGTCAAGAAAATTTCTGACGGCATGTCTGATGCCGGCGTTTCGAGGCGACCTGAAGTCATAACCCAAAACCCTTATAGGGAACAGCAGAAAGTTGGAATATGGATTCATGGTAGGATCCCCTATAATTTACCTTAAAGGGCTTAGGATAATGATATTCCAACTTTCTGGAGTTCCCTTTAACCCTAAACCCAGCTTGTCTCGGGCCCCACCTCCTCGCCGCCAGCGCCGGCGACTGCTCGGAGATCTTCAGGGGTCACGGACCTTGGGCTCGATATAATCATCGAAAGGTGGGGGGGGGGGGTTCGAGGGTGTGGGATGATTGACACTGTGAGATGTGGAGTTCCGGAAAGGTTACCAGCACTGACAGCAGAAGAGCCTCTCCAGCGATGCCGGCTTTCAGACTCAAATCTGATACATCTTCAAAGTCAACAGAAGATGGGCTCGGCTCCATTGGGGCATTATGCCATTGTGGTGTTGACCCTACAGCCAGGCCACAGGGTGCCGGTAAACCATGCCGATAGCTTTGCAGCCATTCGTTCCAGTGGCCAGGCATCGAGCGGCCTTGCTTCTGACTTCGAGCATGCGAGAACAATGGGGGGACGTGATTCAGATTACCATGATGACTGTTGCATCAATTCTCCTCCTGCTCCTGCGCCGCCGCCGCCGCCCCCTTCCTCTCCTACCCCCAGTGCTACTGCAACGGCGTCGACCACCACTACGACTACGATTGCGACTACGACTGTTGTTGTCCCTTTACCTTTGCATCAATACTGAGTAGAACGCGAACATATGTTGCCTTCACAACTCGGGAGCCCCACGTGAGGCTGAGGCTTCCAAAATGGTTTGAAAGAACTCGCGCTGGCAATCTCGGTGCTAAGGGGTGAACGGGAAATCTCAAGAAGATGATGTGAAGTTCGGCTGTTGTCAAAGAGGCAACTAGGCAGCTAGCTAGTAGACGTCAACTTCCATTCTTCACGTGCCCGTTTGCTTCGGGCACCAGAGCCCCGAACCTCACTGCTCTTGATGCGTCTCCGACGCTCAACAAAACTGAAGGGCTTGAAAGGCATGTTATGTAGGGGCATGAAGCTGCTTTTCCGAACCTTTTCAGCACGAGACTCTGATCTGACACAACTTCTCTTTGCGTGACATATCAAAAGCCCGTGTCACGAGCGATAGCATCTTTGCCGAAGTCTAGCCGCGCGGCTCTGCCTCCTTGCCTAAAATCCCCAAGCCCAACCCCTAAGAAGCCCAGACTACAGCCTAGGCCCGCAACCCTAAACCCCTAAGGCCTAAGCTTTAAACCGCTTTCCCCCAAACCCCAAGCTGCCACCAAAAGGCTGACTCGCAGATATGAGCTGCTCGACAAGCTCAGCCATACTCTCCTGGCGAGCAGGGCAATCGAGCTGGCGGCCTATCTATCTATTGGGTGTTAAGAAGCCTGGGGTTTGCTGGCTACTTACATAATTATGTACATAAGTTAGCTATCTATGGCTATATCTATATCTATCTCTGTCGGGTTGCGGGGGTTTGGGGCTCACTTGGCTCTTTCAGGATCAAACAATAACCGGATCGATGCAGAACACGAAATGCTGTGCTGACGACCGCTCTACGGCAGAAAGCCAGCGTTTTATGGACCTGTCCAGATTCCCGCGATCTCAGGTGGCTTAAACAAAGCTGTTATGTTGCTTAACTGGGACCCCCACAATATGTAGGTAATGGGGTGAATTGAACAACGCTTCAAACCTGTGGACTAAACTATGACTAAACCATACTGGACCCGTCGGCGCACCGTGCAGTAGCTTCGGAGAGAGTCCAGGACCCCTTCGTCGGAGTCTAGCAGCGCTTTCCGACGCACGCCATACACAACCTGCCCGGAATCTTTTTTGTTCGGGCTCTTTAAGGCTTATAGGGCTTTGGTAGAGGGTCTAGGGTGTAAGGTGTACGGCCCCCCGTTTCATGACGACTCAGGTTGTAGGGTTTGTTTGGAAGTGAAAACACGATTCGGCTGGGTTGCTCCGAAGGAGCACCATTGCATGGAGTCAAAACCTCGAGGAATGTATGTGCAAGGCACGATAATATAGGGGGCTTAATAATTAGAATAGGGCTTGGGGGGTAAATTATACGAAAATTATATGAAGCTCCCGCAACAAAGCTGCCCTTGCATACTGCCAGCGCGACTGTCGAGAGCCACAAGTCTACACTCTGCCTAGGACGTGGAACGAGCGCGACGACATTGCGAGCTCGAAATCTGGACACAGCAAAGCAGCCCCGCCCCCCCCCCCCCCCGCAAGCCTCCAGCAACAGCTTCATCATATGCAACAATTGCAGCTCAATCATCCTACACTGTTTCGTCCTGGTAACCATTAACCTGCAGCAGCAACCCGTTGAAGTGCATGTCTCAAGCAGAGGCAACGATCCTTATCCCTTTTTGCCACTGGTCTTGGGGCTAGCCAGATCCTTCTCCCTAAACCCTTTCCCTTTGCATGCAGGTTTCGAAACCTGTCTTTGTTGATCAAGCACTTCGTCGTACTTGAAGACATCCTTGCGGATCCCGAAGAAAAAGCCTGGGTGCTCAATCCAAAAGGAGATCACAGCTGGCCCGAACCCTTAGGGTTTAGGGTTTCACTTCCATTTTGGATTAGGTGATTTCTGATGTCGCGGTCCTACTTAGGATCTTTGTTGCCCGCCCTTGCATTCTGACACTCCGACTCAGGATTCATTACAAAACATACAATATCCCAGTGGCCTACATGGCTACCCTCTGCTGCCTAGCTCAAAAGGTTCAAGCTCAGATCCAACTATCGCGATAAGAGAGCCTGAATAGCTGGAACAGCACTGTTGGGCCATGGGCCGTATCGTAGCATCGCCATGCCGGGGTTGCTGTGGTAAAACGGGATTGCAAAGGAATGCTGTGGCTGATTATTGAAGCCCGCAGCCGTGATCATGTGCCTCCCAGAAAGAGACGGCACCATTGGGCTTGCGCCTTTGAAGACCGTTTCAGGCGCGCAGGTCGACAAGGCGAAGCAGTTGGGTTTAGAGTTTCCTTAAACCAGAGAGCAGGTACAATAATTGCCCAGCACCTGGCAACAACAAACACCGGAACAAAAAAGCACCGCTCAGTAAACTGCAAACAATTACTTTTCGAAAGCTTTCAAAGGCAGCATGCGCCACAAACCGGAAACTGAGAGCCGGCCGCCAAGAAACTTTGAACCTGGTTCTGTGCTTCATCAATGGCTCCCGACACAAGAGGAGACACCATGGGCACATCATCTGCGCCACCTTGGTTTGGGGTTCCGTGGCGGCTTGAACCCGCGACATGCCAGTCTGAAGGCACTGAGGGTGGAAAGGCTTCCCAGAGACTCCAATATCCTTAAATCATTTTAGGGATCCCTAATACGAATTCAGGAATATTCCCTAATTTAAGGGATATTGGAGTCTCTGGGTTTGGGATTCTGATCAAGCTCGCCACCCATGTCCGCAGTCAGCATGCGAATCGTGTCACCGCCGAAAACACGGAAGACCTGCTCGTACTGCAGCTTCCGTGAAACGATCACTAATGCCCTGGTGACCCTGTAATGTAGGGGCCTTAATAATTAGAATAGGGTTTTGGTGCCCTTTAAACTATATATTATAGTAAAAACCACCAAAATAGTATAGGTAATTGTTAAGGCCCCTATATTATTGCCCTAGTGACCCTGTGCAAGCTGTTGTGAGCCAAGGTCCCTTCGGCTCTACGGCAACATTGCAAGGACCCCTTTTCGAACAAAACAAGGCCCCAAGCCCTAAAACCCGAAACCCCTAAAGCACATATTGGAGCCTATATACCCTTTTGCCCCTGGACTTGATGAATGCCAGCACCCCGCTGAGTACAGGACCGAGGACTCCGCCCAGGCACACAGTGGCCTATGAACCCCGAACCCTTTCTGCTGCCTGAACCCTAAACCCGGAATCCGAAACCATATAAACCGTGAATCCTGAACCCTCCCTGATCCTAAATCCTGAAAGCTGCGGCCTTGTCCGTAAGGCTCAGGAAGAACCGGGAGCTGCCGGGATCGCCCTGGCGCCCAGCGCGGCCACGCAGCTGGTTATCGATTCGCCGGGCCTCTCAGGCGCTGTGTTTAGGGTTTAGGGGTTTAGGGCTGCTTTCGTAGGCTTTCATAGGTTCGATGACCAGATTTTTAGTAGGGTCTGCAGGGATCTGATTTTTTTCTGTTCTGTAGAGGCTTCTGAGCGTTTTCACGGGTGTGATCGGGGTTGTAATAAGGGTCTACAGCGGGGTATCGGGCTTTTTCTGGGTTTTGTCGAGGCTTATGAAGCTTTTCATGGGTTCGTTCAAGGTTTTAACATGGGTTTACCGGGGATCACGACAGGGCTTGTAGGTTTTATACGGTTCAGGCTTTAGGGTAGTCCTCCCTTCTTCCGAATGTACGAGGACCCCCATGCTTCTCGCGTTGAGGGTCGTGGGTTGCAACGTTTCGGGCCTTGGCGGTTAGGGCACCGTTTGCTCAAGACAAATGCGGTGGAAACACTGCCAGCTGCTTTAAAGGAATGATGTGCGGTTATTTCAGGAGGTTGCCGATGCCGTTTCTGGGCTCCACCTCATGCCGCTCCGTGCCGAGAACGCACAGGCCGCCAGCTTCCACGACCTCAGGAAAACAACATCAAACAACAACAGCAACCATGGCACTGGCAGCAAGACATCAAGTCTGGATGGCCTGTCGGATGCAGAAAAATGCCATGGATCCACAAGAATTTAGTCAAACTACGTGACAAAACCCCAGGCCGCAGAGGAGCTCAATCATAGCCCGAAGCCATCACCCCGTTATAGCTTGAGGTGGGAACTTGTGGGATGCTGTGGTGTGGTGAGTACAAGTGGTCGTCTTCCGACAGAGTGACACGTCACTCGTTTCTGAAAGTTTCGATTGAAAGTAGTTGGATCTCCTTGGCCCCGCCTAGTTGCCAGGCAATTGTGCTAGCAGAAACGGAGAGCCATGTACACCGTAAAACAAAAAGCAACACCCTAGCTGGGCCTAAACAATTACCAATACTACTTTGGGGTTCCTTCTTACAAGAATAGTACTATCTATCCCAAACCTCTTATTCTAACTATTAATACTCCAAGCCCGGAGTGCCTCGCGACTCTGGAGCTCGCAAGCTTCCAGGAGGTGGTCCTGCGCCTCGGTCAATCTCGACAGGGTCCAGGTTTATGGCGCTATGGAGTCGTCGTCGAAGTGGTGGTGGTGACAGCAGTCGTCGTCATCGTCATCGTTGCAAGGGCTTCATGGTAATGGCAGTGGCGGTAGTGGTGGAACTGCTGCTGTCGTAATAGTAGTCGTCGTCGTTGTGGTAGTGGCGGCGTCGGTCGACGTCGTCGTCGTCGTCGTCGTCGAAGTCATCATATGTGACGAGAACCAACCAACTATCCGCAATCGACAGCGCCTTGTGGTACGTGGCCCTGAGCGACTGCACCGCCGCCAGCACAGCGTCGCTAGCTTCGGGTAAGGCCTGCGCAGTGATTTCAGATAGTGCTCAACACTAGAGTCTTTCATCACAAAATCTTGCTTCCTGAGCTTCGCGATCAGGCATTGCATTGCCTCTCCTGGCCCTCCCATAGATAGTGCGTGGCTCGGGTACTGGTCTAGGAATTTCGAGAGTGCAAAATCTTGGTAGCAATATCGAGATTGGTAGTTGGAACAGAGGCACACAGTATACATCACTATCCGCACTATCCTTTCCTGTGCTAATTACACAGAACTATCCTATACTACACGGTTCTGAACTACGTGTATACTATACATTACGGTCGCTATCAACTGCATCATCATCATCATCATCATTGGCGGGCCTCACCGGCCACGGCCCGCTCGATGTCTGCCGCAGCCAGAGACGGCGCAGTGCTTGCCACGAGCTGAGATGCGGCCATTGGCTTTAGGGTTTAGGGTTTTTGACGCTCACACTCGGCAGTACCGGGCGGAGGGTGTGGGAGTTTGTTTAGAATTTAGTGGCATGGTGTGGTTTACCGGTTTAAGACTGAAACCCTCAGCCAGCTCCCCCAGTTCTTCTACTTTCCCTGACAGTGCACCCATTGCAGAACTTCGGGATCACCTGCCAATCCCCAGTGCTCCGGCACACCAGTCGCAAAAAACATTCAACGCCCCTGCAGGTGCCCCATCAAGTTCAAACGCGGTGCGTGCCGGAGCCTTTCCGCGGAAATTCTAAACCATCGTCAGGCCAGGCGTGATCGCAGGCTGGGAAAATTTGCTCCATATAAGGCTCTGATCCAAGACCCAAACTTTCCGAGAGCTTGTCCCAAACGCTCAGACTTCCAGGAGCCTTTGCATCCAGGACACAGAAGAAGCGGATGTGAGCTCTTCCTGGATAGCATCCTGGGGTGTGCTCATGCTGAGACTCAAACCCCATACAGACCCAAACCTCAAGCCAGGATTTCCGAAAGATGGCTCTTCTGGCGGGCCCAATTGTCGGCTGGAAAGAAAAGATCGAAAACCAAAGGTTGAAGTGAACGCTGTGCCGTCTCTTCGCAAACTAGTAGCAACTGTTTAAAACAGACGTAAAGGCACCGCATTGTCTCTCTCAAGCGGAGACATGGAAAATGTTCATGTCTAGCAGAATGGCGGTGCTAGGATTTACCAAGACAAACTCTCACGAGATGTACAGCTTCTTGACATCCTGCCGAAAGGTGCAGCAAGAAGGGTCTGCAGATGCGCGAAGCATAAAACCATCACCATTGTTGACTCAGCCTTCGTCATGCCTACTAGTACAACCACCGTTCACCGCCACCACCACCGCCGCTGCCGCACTAGCAGCAATAATTAGCAGCAGCAGCGGCAGCGGCGGCGACACCACGCCCACTACGGTAAACATAGCAATTTATACACACATCCTGTACATGTTCCTGTCTCAACCACAAATGAAAGCTCCCCGAAGTCGCGCTTTGCCGTATTGTGCTTTCCTGTTACAGTTACACTGTTCTTCTTTCAATTGACCTTCTGCAGTTTGTGGCTCCGACAATTGTCGGGTGCTTAATAGGGAATGGAGAAATAAATCCTTATAGTAATCCCTATATAATCCCCAACAGTAGTCCCAATAACCTGTTCCCCCAATTTCCTTACTAAGAACCAGACAGCCTACTAAGAATCCTAAACCCCTATAACCCTTATAGTAACCCCTATACCAACCCTTATAGTCACCCTTATAGCAACCCTTATAGGCAGTTTGTGGCTCCGACAAGGGAAGGCATAATTCCGAGAGCTCCGGCGAGGTCTCGTCTGGCGTGGCCTGGGGTGTCGCAGAGCCATGCCGGGAGTTCGGGGATCCTTGTGGCCTCAGGGACTTTCCTATACCACCCCATGGAACCATAATAACACTATTATGTCTAATATTCTCTTGGGTTTTATATGAACAAAAATAAAAAAATAGTTCCTGCTACGGAGATTTGGGGCTTGGGCTTTTGGGTTTTTATGCTCTCGCAACTCGGACAAGCCAGACGAGGTTCTCGGTGCGCGTCGGTACTACTGCCAGTTCGCCCAAGCCTTCATACCGAAAACACAACAGACCAAGGTAGTGCCACAAAGGACAGGCTTCAAGCTTGCTGGCCAAGGATGTCTACAGACTCGCTAAGGTGTCAAGCGAGGAAGTATCGTACAGCTCGGTGACAACAATTAGTGGTATAGGCTACATATTCACTTCTCAAAGGGCATCCGGCCAGGTCTTGAGATCTGGGGGTTAGAAGCTTGGGGCTTTGGGGTTAGGAGTTTAGGGAAGGCCTCAAGTGGGAAGGTTTCAAGTTAATTTCAGCGACACCTCCAAGCCATGTTGAATCCACTCGTTGAGAACTGATAAACCCAGAACCATGAATATCCCAAACCTCCAACCTTCAAGCCCTGACATCTAACGAGGATGCAGAAAATGTGCTCAAGAAATGAACTTCAGGCAAGATTTGAACTTCAGGGATTAGGAGTAGCCCCAAACCCTATATCTGGCGCTGTGCCACCAGCAGCTATGTCTGTGTCCAGCGGCTGTGGAGGACACATTTCGCAGAGCTTCCTGCGAAAGGAGTGCAAATCAGAAGTTGCAGAAGCAGGGTGAAGTCGTAACCGTCGGAAGCTGAACAATTATGTTACATTATGTTCGATGAACTGCAGCCAACCATGTCAGATTTCCAGATCGTCATGTCCATGTTTGTTGACTACATAAATCACAACTTCGCTGTACATCCGCTCGCCCACGGATGTGAGCTGTCTGTGGAATGTGGGTAGCTACCCCGGCAGTGCTTGGCCTTCACTGTTCAGGTTGAGGAAGCGAGAACGCGTCACTCGTCCTTGAGATACAGCTTTGCCATCGCTTTCCCATCTCCACCGAGCACTATGTCAGTCCCCCGGCCTGGCATTGAAGGGTTCAGAGTTTGGAGTGTATTAGGGTTTAGGTTTTAGGGGCTCGCCTTTAAGTGAAACGCCAACCGGAATGGCTGTAAGCTTGGCAGCGAGACAAACAAAGCAAACTTTCATGTGATCGTGGCTTTGTGTCTAAAGGCGGGGTGGGAGATTCTCTTGAGTTCCAAAGCACTGTTCTGGAATTTCCCGGTGAGACTGGAACAGAAACTGTCCTGCACTATCCATGAACCTACTTGTCAGGTATCATGGGGAACTAAAGGTTAACCTTTGTGGTTATATAGGGATTATATAGGGACTATAATACCCAAAAAAGGTTAAAGGTTACCTACTCTACTACTAGGTGAAATATCCAAGGTCTAAGGGTTGGAGCTGAACTCAGTCAGGCTTCTGTGCTTGCGATGTAATGTATGCTGCCGAGTGAGAGGTCAGGGGAGCGGGGCAGGGTTTTGGGTTCAGGCTTGGCGTATATGGACAAGAATCCAAAGTCCCATATCCACGACAAACGAGAGGTCTTACGTGTCCTCCAGAGTGACCCGGCTGAACTCGCGGGAGCTAAGGTAGACTAGGAGTGCTTTGGGACAATCTCCTCATGTGGAGTCGGGCTCGAAACTTCAAAGGAGGCAAAGTTTTGCCGTCGGAATGATGGGAGAAGGACCGGGCAACGCATACCGTAGCACTGATGCAAAAGGATATTTGTGTCAGGCGAGCCGACCAGTCATGAAGAATGAGGTCATGACGTCTGCGTCTCTCCTGGATGCTTCCTCCTTCAGCGGTCCGTCTCCAAGCCTGACTTGAGTGGCCGCAAGCGCTTTGAAGTCACGCCTGGCCCTTTCCACGCTCGCGCGCAGAGGGCCATGGCAGAGGGAGCCATCTTTCAGCTGAAATTGTGCACACCTTGGATGCTCTGAAAGTGTGAGTGTAAGTAATCAGGGGCTTTCAATGGCTTTATAAGCTTTGTAGTATAAGTTGAAATCGACCACTTCATAACTTTCTTTTCTACTGGCTGGTAGCTCAGTAGTGCTCAATATCTCTGTATGATCAGCAAAAGCACAGACAGGTGTGGAGCTGTGGGACTCCCGGCAGGCTCGTGAGGACAACACCCTGGGGCAGAGTCTTCACACCAAACATCTGCTGCAAAAGCTCCTGGGTTGTGCTTTAAAACCTTTGAAAAATTATTTGTGAATAGGTTCCCTTTATAAGGAAATAGGGGAAATTAAAAATTATCCCAAAGCACAACCCAGGCTCTTCCTGCACGGCCAATCGAACGGCTTGCACTGTGGCTGCCGCCCTGCCCTCCGAGCATGTCTGCCGCCACCACCGTCTCCGCTGCAGCTTCTCCTCTCGTGTCATAGCAAGGGCCTCCTGTGCAGCCTGCCACGCCACCTTCACCTCATCCAGATCTAGCAGTCTGTCGTCTGTCACACGCCGGCAAATAAACCGCAGCGTCATGACTGGCGCATCGGCCGCTCTCCTTTCCCTATGCAGCTGCTCAGTTGCACGGTCCAGGGCTTGGTCAAAAGACTTTCCAGCCTCGAACTCCATCAAGAAACGACGACGCAGCAGCACCAGACCCACGTGCCAATCGATAACCGTGTCCAAATTCGGACTGTGCTGTGACCAGACACTGATGCCTTTGAAGCCTACAGTTGCTCGAAAATACCGATACGTCTTACCCCCCCCACGTCTCGGACACACATATAAACGGATACCCCTGACACCACTTCGCCCCTTCCCTGGGCCCCTGTTGGCTTGAATCTCCGCCTCTGCCTGCAAGTCGTCCTCGTGAAGATCTGGGAGTTGATCGTCGCAAAGAGCCAGAACGTTCTCCACGTCCTCTTTGTCATCCTCGGACCCTGATTTGCAGTTTTCATGCTCATCTTGGAAAGCAGATGCTGCTTGGAGATCGGCTGTCTCGAGAAACTTCAAAAGCTCACGAAGCTCTCGCGGTACCAACTTCTTCAGTCGGGAGCGCATTGATCTCACAGAAAGGCGCAAGAGCTCCTTTGCGAGGTTCGAAATTTCCTCGGACGGTGTCGGTGAACTGCTGTCCTGGCCTGCTGAAGCCCCGCAGGTGCGCTTGCGCCTGCCCGTTTCTGACTTGCACTCACGGGGCCCATCTTGCCGACACCTCTTACCAGGTTGGGACACTTGCACCGGTGCATTTCCTTCCGTCTCGTTCTGTGATGCTGTGTTTGCACGCTCGAGTTCTCGATCATGAGCTGCACGAAGCCGCGGGTCGGCCAAGGTCTCGAAGGCCCTGACAACTAGTCGGAATGCTTCGGGGCTGCCTCCTTTGTCTGGATGCGTTGCCAGCGCTTTTCGGCGATACGCCGAACGGATGTCAGCTTCCCCGGCAGAAACTGCTATGCCCAAGGCAGCATAAAGATTGTCCATGGGTCCATGCCGCAGGATGATTGGACATTTCGAGTTAATGCTGCAGCTTGTGCTGCTGCTGCTACTACTACTACTACTACTACTACTACTACGACGACGACTGATACTTCAACCGTTACTTTTGATACCACACCACGTGTTGGCTAGCACCGATAGATAGGCAACAGTTGCTGCTGTGGAGTGTCGGCAAGGTTATTTTGCGGCTTGTTTCACCGAAGAAGCTGCGAGGCACAACCCTCTCTTCGGCTGCCAATAAGCTCACATGGGAGTTTCCGAAAATGGGGGACCCTAACACAGTACCCTAAATAGTAAGCACAAATCCAAGGTGCACGTTCCCTCTGTCAGATAGAACCCCCTCCTCCAACTGTGCCACAGCTTCAATGAATCCCGAACATCTCCCTGACATGCAGTCCCACGAACTCCTCAACCACAGCGGCCCGAAGTGCTAAGTTCGATAAGGATCCTTGTGGACTGAGCAAGTAGGTGAATTATCACCCACTTACAACCTTACTAAGTCCCATAAGCCTTTAAGCACTCAATCCCGGAGAGCACCAAGCTCGAAATTGAACCTCACCCCTGAAACCCTGAGACGATGAATGTGTCGAAGGCCTGCCATGTTGGTTGCGATCGTGATCGCATTTGGTAGACCGCCAGCAGCCACGATCTCCTGTTTTGGGAGTCTCCGGCTGTTCGATTCTAGGGGGCTGTTCAAAAGCCTGGAGTTTAGGGATGGACTTACGGTGTGGGGTGTTTGAGGATTTAGTTTGGAATGGAAACCTTGACTCCCTTTCTTCGTGGAGCAGAGCTAAAGAACCACAGAAGCCCAACACCCCACAAACCGCGCACCAATGCACGATCTGCTGACAAGCTGCAGCCTCTCTGGCTGCATTCTCAGGCTTGGCATTTAGCAGCTTGTAGGTCAGACCCTCCCGGCTGAGATATCCAGCAAGGACCTCAGAATTCCTGGGAAGACAGTCTTTTGCAGTTTAGGGTTTAGGTTTAGGGAGGTTTACGGTTTAGGGTCGGCACGTCGGTCGTTGGAGTGTGGCTGCTTCTCTGTTATTTACTGGTCAAGTTGGTGGTGGTGACAGTGGTGGTGGTGGTGGTGGTGGTGGTGGTGGTGGTGGTGGTGTCGTCGTCCTCGGTGTGGTGGGTGGTGCCGTATTGACCAAGGCAACAGGCAGTACTTGTAGCACTGCTGTCCATCGTTCTGCGGCGTACAAAAGAAATTACTGATGCTCAACAAGAACTTGATGTATCATGTCATAATCAGCCATAGATGCAAGGCCAAGTTCGGCTTGAGGTGTGTTGACGAGTTGATGATAAGCGACCGGGGCATCTTCAGCAAGCCAGGATTCTTGGAGGAGTTCAGGGTGTGCCCCTACTTCGGGCTCAGGGTGCAGGGGTTATGATGTGACATTTACTGTCACCAGAGGAACTTGATTTTCGCGATGGGCGCGCCCCAAAGGTGCCAAGCGGCTGCTGAGCTGGCTTGGCCGAGACAAAACATTTTTGACATGACGAGCGCTGCTGTGCTCGAGATGGCAGAGCTTAACGGAGGACCGGCTACCCGGCTAATAATTAATAATTAAACGGCACGGGGTATAGTATAGGGTTTTGAGGACTCTGGCTTAAGCCTAAACCCAAACCCCGCTTCAGGTTTAGTGCTTTTGCTTGTTCCTTCTCATGTCGCGGCTCGACCCAAGCTTTATCCAACTTCCCAATCTGGGAATCTTATGTTCGGGCCTGGAGAGCATAGGATACCCTGTAAACCCTTCTAAGGGCCCTAAACCCAACAACCCTAATGTACCGTCGCTGTAGTGATCAGATGCGATATACCGGGATACTATCACTAATTCTTAGAACCCTATAGCAAGCTCCCAAGCCCGACTTTCAAACGCCCCCGTCATAAGCTCCCTTCGAGCCACATCAAACAGTTCAATATGAAAATCCCGTGGAGATTTATCATTATCTACTACGTTAAAATGCACCATAAGTCCTAAGAGCTCTGAACTCCTACATCCCCTTAACCCTAAACCCTACTAAAGCATCAGATGGCGTCCACGAGCGCTGCCACGAGCTCTGGATCTTGGCCAACCTTCACCTTGGCTTCCTCCAGGATCGTGTGGATGAGGGAGATGACACGGTGCTTTCGAAGCCTGGGCTTAGGCCGCATCTTGTATGTCGTAGATTCGTAGGTATATAGATACAGGTGCACATATAGACATAGATATGAATATCGATATAGATATAGATAGAGATACATCATCATCAAAGAATGCAGACTATGGGGACTAACGCGGAATTGTGGCTTTAGGGCCTTAAACTTAACCCTAGACTCTCAGCAAGCGTCTCGCGAAGCACTGCGACCACGTTCGTCGGACACATCATCTTCGACAAGCTCGCCGCACAGGACTCGGCAAGCTGCGCCAGCCCGTACCTGGGTGGTTGTCAAAATTTGGGTCCCTTTTTGGGTACCTTAAATTTTAAATATGAGGTGCCGTATTATAATAAGGACCCAAAAGGGACCCTAATTTTGAGAACCACCTGGGGATGGAACGCCCGAAACTTTTTTTGTATAGGGGCCTTCATAATTAGAATCGGGCTCCTTTACAGGGGCTACGATAAGAGCTACCTACACCTAATGTAAGGGCCTTAATAATTAGAATAGTGTTTCGGGGCACAGTTATACTATAACTGTAATAAGGAACCCCCAAAGTAGTAGAGGTACTAGCCAGACCCGCTCGACCTCTATCATCACGACCGAGGCCCCAAACTAAACCTGTTAGCACTTGTGCTGGCAAAGTCGCACGACAGGGGAAACAACTGCACACTAGGGCTGCAGGATTTCCCGATGATTTTTGCGGATTGTAAAGCTGACGGCGAACCTCTCAAACTGTAAGCCTCCCTTCAAAGGGGAGGCCAGGGTCGAAAGGCCCACTTATACTATAACCACAATAGTATGAGTAGTTATTTCAGCCCCTATAGTAATGACGCCCTTTCGCATCCAGGCCTCTTCGAACTGCCCTACGGCCTGAACTCTCTAAGACCTCCACAAAAAGCAAAGACCTCGAAGCTTTAGGCCTTAGAGAAAGCCAAGGCCCAGACCCAGGAAACCCAAATTATGCCCCAGACTCCCTAGACTCTTAGACCCTGCAAAACCCCCGAGTGGAAGCTTTGGAAACACCCTGATTGAGGCCTGAAATGAAACCGCGGCACTGGTTGCCGAGGCAGATCAGTTCCCCCAGCTCCTGGACGGATGTGCTCTCCTCAGCTTCAAGGATTTTGTTAGGGTTCTTTGTCAGGGGTGGAGGGTTGATGCGGGTTTAGGGTTTGGCTTTGCTCGGAGGTCTATGGTTGGAAGCTTTAAGACTTATAAGTAATTGAAATGAAGGCTGTGAGCTTCCATGGTGTCTAATCATCCTTGGCAAGGGTTTAGACTGTGGGGGTTGCAGTTTTGTCTTGGGGATCTGCGTTTGGGTTGTTTGGAGGTGCATAGGGTCGGGGGCTTGGGTTTTGTTCCCTGGGAGTGCTTGCGGTTTGGGGGTGTATCGGGTTCTGGGGCGAAAGACTAATGATGTTTAGGGTTTTCAGATATATCGAAGAGGCCTACGCTACTCTCGACTCGCGAACTCACGTAGACCTTCCACGGGCCCCCAAATATCAAGATGCCCCCTGAAGACCCAAAACAAAACACACAACTCCCTGCAAGGCCCTAGCAAAACCCTGAGTAAACCTTTTTTTGCGTCCGGGCTTGGGAAGTCGGCCGGGTAAACCCTTACTATGGGAATCCCAAAACGTGTCTAAGAACCTCCAAGACAGTCAAAGCATCTGGGGCTTCCCCGGTGTAGATGTGCTCTAGCAACCTCGGTGTTGTTCCCTTGTTCGGGGTGTTTGTTGAGCAATTCGGTCTGTTGATTCCTTTCCGTCTTGCCTCCTTCAGGCTTAATACGTACGAAAACTATGTTGAGTGATTCCTTCTCCTATTGACAGAAGAATATACCCCCAAAGCCCTCTTTAGGTCTATGGCTTACCTGGCTTACCTCAAAGTACGGTTGATGGTATAAATCCTGCACTACCTTAAGGACCATAGTCTATGGGAATTATGGCATATTCCTTATTATGGGTAATGCAGGATTTTGTCCATCAGCCGTATCAACCCCAAGCCGACAAATATTTCGGATGTGGGAGTCTGTACAACAGGGACGCTACGACTCAGGGTCCAGACACCGCGGTCTGTCTCCTTTCCTGAAAACCTATTTGGGACTTCACGAAAATAGGGGACCCTGATATAGTACCCTAAGAATAGTAGGATCCTTATTTTAAGATCCCAAAATAAGGTACGTCTAATTTTGGGAAACTCCCACTTATATGTCGGAGATTTGTACCGCACCGTCGGGTGGTCCAAGCGACGTCGGGAGACTCGGTGATTGAGGTTTCTTCTGCGAATTTGAGATTTCTTCTGGCGTTTCTTGTTCATGCAGTTTACCATGTAAAGCTCACGGTTTACCATGTCATTGTAACTCATGTTACTTTGTTGGAGGGATCACCGTGGCAATTGGCTCTTGTTCTAGCATTGTGGAAGCCACGTTTGCCCTTGCAGAATCGTTATGAGTTGCTGCCGGTCAGAAAAACCAAAGGAGTACGCAACATCAGTGACTAAGTATTGCTGGACTCGCAGTTTGTCCGACTAAAGTATCAGAAGACAAAGCCCCAGTCCAAGATAAACCTTATAATACATTGTGGGGGGCATGAAGAATCTGCTGGCTGAAGTGCAACATGGCAGCTTGTTCAGAGTACCCGACGCCGCATTGCGGATGACGATGCGATGCTCCGAACCCTCCTCTCAATCATTTGCAGCAAGGAAAAGTCAGCCGAGTGATTCCTGCACCGTTTCATTCACAAGCAGCCCTTTGCGCCATTCCCGTGAACATCAGCCTGCTAGATCCTGCTAGCTGACATAGTGGAAACTAAGGAGTGATAAGGAATCTCATGTGTGTCGTTAGGCAGGTTCAGGGTTGCCATCACTATCACTAACAATCATCGCCGTCACCACCGCCAAAAGCTGCAGGATCATCATGGTTAGATTCCAGGATGCTACATGCAAGTGCGTGGTGCTCGTCGTCTTCGTCGTCGAGGACGAACAACAGTAAGGCTATTGGCAATAGGTGGTGGCGGCGGAGGCCGGGGGCGAGATTACTGCGCGTACTGTGGCAGCTTTTGTTGCTTGTATCAATAACAGTTTCTGCACATGCTTTGGCCTCTCCCCCGACGAAGACTACTAATTGCTGCTACTTGCTACGACTACTGCTGTTGCTGCTGATGCTGCTACTGCACCTACTACCACCGCTACTGCTACCGCCATCACGGCTGCACCTAACGTGCTTGAAGAGAGTTTTCAAAGCACAAGCCGTAGCACTAACTGCACTAACTTCGGAGGCAGTTGGGGCTGCTATTTCGGGTTCAAATAGGGCTAGGGTTTGAGGCAGCATCAAGGGGTTGCAGCTTCCGTGTTCGCTTGGAACTGCTTGTCCTAACTTCCGCACAAGGAACTTGGAACAAGGCAAGCTGATGTCTCACGGGATCCTGCCCTCAAACCTAAATCACAGGTTCCTTAGGCCCCGCCCCCCCCCCCCCCCCGCCAGCCCCCACCTCCCTAGAACAGTGATAGATTTCGATGTACTTTTAGCTCAGCAGTGGCTGATGCATCGAAATGCTTCGAATTGTATCGAAATGCCTCTACTCAAAGTCGCTCGATTTGCTTCTATCGCTCAAGAGCCTCGGCAAGCTTTTTCAGCAGAGAAGCACATCGAAGCGATTTTGAGTAGCGACATTTCGATACGTTTCGATTCATTTCGAGACAAGACGAAGCATTTTGAAATAGTTCGCATCACACACACGCAAATTGATACGTTGACCTAGGATTAATAATCCCCCTACGATTAAAGGCGGCCTGCGGGCGGCTCCGGCCCCAATCTGTACTACTTTAAAGGCAGCACCCAAATAAGGATCGTTTTTTGCAGAAAACCCCCCACGATTAAAGGCAACACCGTCTGGGGATCTAAAATTTCAAAGTGCTTCGAAGACTACTTTTAAAGGGGGCAAGACTTGGTCTAGGCCTAAACCCTTCCCCGATATTAAACTTGAAACCTCATTGGCCCCAAAACCGCTTCACGTTTTAATCCTCCAAAGTGGTGATTTCAACACTACTTGCTGTGTCGTTCCAAGCCCCCAAACAAGCTTTTTGAGCTATCCCCAGCAATCGTGTGTCACCCACGATTAATCAACGTCCCACGATTAATCAAACTCCTGTGGCACTCCTACTGCTACTGCTACTGCTACTGCTACTGCTACTGCTACTGCTACTGCTACTGCTACTGCTACTGCTACTGCCACTGCTACTACTGCTGCTACTACGACTACTACTACTACTACTACTACTACTACTACTACTACTACTACTACTACTACTACTACTACTACTAGCACCACTGTTTACTGCAATTTGGCTTCACGGGATTATTTGGGGGTCTGTGATCCTGTGGGGGGCCTGCGACCTTGACAACCTTGAGGGGGGGGGGGGGGCGGGGGGGGGGGGGGTTTATTAATCAGGGGTCAACATTATTCTTTTTGCTTGTTTATGCCTCGAGAAGCTTCTGGGTGCACCAGCCACTGCTGGGCTCAAAAGACGGGGGTCCTAAGAAACCTATGGCTAAATCGCCAGATTTTTAGGAAAGGAAACCCGCAACCCTAGTTACCCCTAACAAACCTGAAAAACTAAATGCCCACACTACCCTAAACTTCCTAAACCCGAAACATCAAGGCCCCCGGCCTTCATCTGAGAGCTGAGCATTCGGTCGAAGACCTCCGAACTCCTGGACAGCTCTTTTCAGCACGGACTGAGGTGCCGGCCAGCGCCCACGAAACTCGGACAGCTCTAAACCCTAAACTCCCAAACCTATAAACTCCTAAACCCCATAAACCCCCAAACCCCTAACCTCACCCTAACCTCCTGAACCCCTTCGCTCCTAAACCCTGATCCCCTAAACCCTAACCCTCGAACCCCTTAGAACCCTAAACCCCTCAAACCCTGAACTCCTAAACCCCAAGCTGGCCCTAAACCCCTAAACCCTATAGATCCCCTTAAAAGGACCCTTATAGATCCCTTTAAAAGGAACCCCTATAGATCCCTTTAAAGGGAACCCTAACCCCTAAACCCCCGAAACTCTCCTAGCCAGCACGGCTCGATGGCAAGGGAGGTCTTCTCCTTCGTCTCCAGCTCGCATCGTCATGTCCGTGAACCTTTGGCTTTCAGGATCTAACCCCCTAAATCCTTAAACCCTAAACCCCTAAACCCCTAAATCCTTAAACCCTAACCCCTAAACACCTAAATCCTTAAACCCTAACCCCTAAACACCTAAACCCTTAAACCCCTAAACCCCCAAACCCTAAACCCTTTCGGGTGTTCAGGGCTGAAGGGGTTTCGGGTTTTTGTTCAAGTTTTTCGGGGTTGAAATGTTTAGGACGTCATGTAAGTGAACTTATAGCTTCGACTTCAAGCCATTTGGGGCTCTTAGGGCGCAATTTTTGGGAACTTCCTGGTACTTCTGCGCACTTCGGAAGTCTAGTGCTGTCCCGCCGAGAAACTTCATGTCTCGCCACAGGTCCTTCCCATAGTCTAAGCGCCGACGCTTGCTGGGCTCGTATCCCAAGTTCTTGGGGTCAAACCACAGCCTGGCAGGTCTAGCTGCATCCTAGTCCCGCAACCCCAACACCCCAAAACCATAATATGCCGCTAAACCTACAAACCTCTTCAACCCCGGAGAATCCTACAGCCTACATGTCCATGGGGTTAAGGTTTATAGGGTGTAGTGTAGACCTGTTAAAAGTTTAGTAAATCGGCAGGTGGTTGTTCTGGTGTATGCAAAACTCGTAACAACTGCCTCAGCGAGCCAAGAAACTCCACTAAGCAGTGCAAGTACTCGCCAGGCACATATTTCGGCGGTACCAGCAAAGCTTCGGACTTGCAGACTGCATGCTTAAGAGTAAAGCACTCGTTGCACTTACCACAGCGAAGGCGGTGAGGAGAGCCCTGTCGAGTCTCCTTCTGGCCGGCATATCTAACGGTCAAGGAAAATCGCACGTCACCGATCGTGAGCTCATCTGTCTTCCCGGACAAAGCGCTGTTAAGTGTGTCTTCGGAATCTGTGTAGATCGGCACGAAGACCAGCTTGGTAGCAACGCCTGGCCCCTGGGATGTGAAGCCAAAGCCTCGAGGATAGACCTTCAGAAGCACGCAGTAGTTCCATAAGGTGGTGGCTGGACTATCCACATGTTGGCCTTCAAGGTAGTGATCTTCACTGTGCAAGGGCAGCTTGAAGTCTATGATGTGTGTCGGGGTCGGCTCCCCGTCGTCCATATGCGCACGCTGCACATGAATTCGGGTGCAAATGGACAAGGCGAACTACACGGTTTAGGATTTTGGGTTTGGGGCTTAGGACTAGGGTTTAGGGGCTATGAGTCATATGGGTGGTTGTCAAAATTAGGGTCTTTTTTGGGTCCCTATTATCCAAAAAGGGACCCTAATTTTGACAACTACCCCTTTGAGGTTTTAGGGTTCGGGGCTTTGTTGCTTTTGGGAAGGTCTGTCGGGCTCTGGGTTTAAAAGTTTCAAGAGCTGGGCCGCGATCCGATAATGCGTCCCGGGGTTCCCCCAAAAAAGCCGCCAAACCTACCCAGTACTCCACCCCGAGAGTCCTTCTTGTCGGGTATCATGGGGAACTAAAGGACTAAAGGTTGACCTTTTTAGTGATATAGGGATCATGTAGGGACTATACTCCCCAACATAGGTTAAAGGTTGCCTACTCTACTACTAGGGAGTTGTGCGTAACAGCAGTCCCACTTGTGATGCAGCACGTGGGCTTCTTTCAAGTTTTAAGCTTTGAAGCCCGGCCCTTGCACCAGCTAATTTTCCAAGGTTGGCTGTTGGAGCACACATGAAAGCTATTTCGTCTGGTCCCCGACACCCGCATATCTTGTTGGGGCTAGGGTGTGAGATTCACAAACAACCTCGGGCAGCTCTTGTTCTTCTGGACTTTTGGACTTAAGGGTCATTGGGCCTAGCCCCTCTGACCGCGCTCATGACAGCCGACGTACATGCGGGATCCAAAACCCCATGCAGCCCGAAAACCTCCCAACTATGTAAAGCCACCAAGACCCCAATATCAAACCCTATAAAGCCCGTCTGCAGACACCGCAGGGTTAAACAACGCCAGGCATCTCCACGCTCGTGGTTCCAACGAGCACAGGTCGGCCCAGCCTGTGCGCCTGTGGTTCCAGACATGTTGCGATAGCGGTTTAGGGTTTAAGCTTTAGGGCTCAGGGGTTCCGGGTCTTGGGTTTTTTTTGACACTCACACTCGGACAAAGCCTGGCAAGGTCTGTAGCGATCCTGGTCTCTCGTTAACTAACAACCGGCATATATCACCAGATTGTGAAGGTCACAAATCCCTACAGCCACGTTTCAGCCATAGGATCACGCCGTCAAGTACCATGCACGACAAGACAGACACAATTACACAAGCATGCTCCACCACGAATTTGACAGCAGGTCTTGGGTTTAGGGTTTTGGGGTTTCGGCTTGAGGGCTTACATAGGCGTTTCTTGGTTTAGGGTTTGGGGGTTTAGGGTGTAGGGATGAGCCTTTAGGAATAAGGGTTTGGGGATTTGATGATTTGGAACCGTTAAGACCCTACTGAAATCTAAACTCTAAAACTCTACGGTCCAGGGTTTAGGGTTACACGTAGGGCTGTAGGTTTCGGAAGTGACGGTGTTTGAAGAGCCTCTCTCTCTGGGTTTCGGGATTTCCGGGATCTAGGCATTCGAAGTTCGGTTCACAGCGATAGTAGAGCTGTCCCTTGAGCGATCCTCGGAAGTCATCGTATCAAAACCTGCCAAGTAAGCGTTTAAGGTTTGGGGCTCATAGGGTGCAGGGTTTCCAGCCGGCTGATAACTCAAGACGTCTGACTCTGCAGTAGATGTCTTCCACAGAGCATGCAGTCTACCCGCGAAAGTTAAGGGGCCACAGCAATGACCGGTAAGGCACACCTTGTTCCAATTAGCTCACGCAAGATTCTGCGACGCCCACAAAACCCAAAGCCCTAAAGCCCAAACCCCTCACTTCTATAAAACCTTGATTGCAAGTGGGCTTGGGGGCTACTAAACCCTAAACCCTGAACCCTAAACCTTAAACCCTAAACCCAAAGCTCTAAAGCCCAAACCCTGAACCCTCATCCGCCTCGCAGGCGGCCGCTGTGACAGCTCTCCACTTCCCACCTTCGGTGGTGTAGACCTCTCACTGCGATCGAGGCTTTTCTTTGGGGTTTAGGATTAGAGTTTAGGGGTCAGGGGTTAGGGTTTAGGGGTTAGGGCTTAAGTTGACAAAGGGTTTAGGGTTTAGGGGTTTAGGGGTTAGGGTTTAGGGGTTTAGGGTTTAGGCTTCAGATTCAGGGAGTCCCTTTTTGCACTAAGCCCCGAAATCCTAAACCAAGGGTCGTGTGCTTTGAAGCTGAACTGTCTGGTTCTTATTACGGAATGGGGGATTGGATCCCGATAGTAGTCCCTGGATAATCCGCGATAATAGTCCCAATAACCCATTCCCCCCATTCCCTACTCAGAACCAGACAGCCGAGGTTGACGTGTTTTGAGCCTTGGGCCCTGGGCTCAGGGTTTCGGTGGTTTGGTGTTATATGCTGACCTGGCCCAGAAAGTATGCAAAAAAGCTCAATGCAGTAATATAGGGGCCTTAGTCATTAGACTAGGGTTTTGAGGCCATTATACTATAAGTATAATAACGACCCCCCCCCCCAAAAAAAAAAAAAATAGTATTGGTCATTATTTAGGCCCCCGTAGTACCTACTGACTCTCAGCTCCTGAAGCCCGAAATCCGGACCTCGTCCTCTTCATCCAAGCGCTGGCAGGGCTTGTTGGAGGGAACGGGGCTCACCTGCCCAAGCATGACCATGAAGAATGCTGGAAATCTCAAAGCCTGAACTTGTGGAACCCGAGACTACGTCGGAAGACAAGACTAGCTCACGTGAACTTGACCCTAAAGCCAAACATAAAGCCGTGGCCTTTAGCATCTCTCTTGCAAAACGGCCCGAAACTCTCATCCCAGCTTTCCAAGGTACCGTGAGGTTGTAGATGGACTCCAGCTCTTGCGCTTCGGTGGACGCTGTTCCGGTCATCCCTTCAGAGGTTTGGGATTTGAGTTTTAAGGGTTTGAGCGTTTTAGGGCTTGACTTGTATTGTAGCGCTGATCGATTTTAAGGTTTTGGGGGCCTGGGGCTTCAATTTGGGTTTAAGTTGGGGTTCTGGATTTATGGCTCCAGGCTTGGGCTTTGGGATGAAGGGGTTCTTCATGACGCCAAAGTTCGGTGAGACCTCCCTTCTTTTGTATCAAAACTTGCGCAATCACTAAAAGTCTGAGCACACGCATCTCACCTCCTAAACGCTTCTTGCTACTGCACTCAAGTTCTAAATCCTCAACCCGCCTAACACCTAAACCCTGAACCCTAGACCCTCTGTGTCTTGAGCAACTCTCGGCTGGTTTGGAAGAGCCGTGGATTGGGGGCGGGAAGTAAATGGAGACGCTAGAACCCTTAGACAAAGCTTGACAGCACCCACCTATGGTCTTCATTCCCTTGTATCCATAGTCTCCATTTCATTGTAATTGGTTCCCTATTTTGGGTTACGTTGCAGGATGCTAGAGAGAAATTTATAGTTAAACCAAAAAAAGGAACTACAGTGGAGAGTATAGGTAAGCTTGCGAAGACAGGCCTTGCCCGATGAGACGGATGCAAGAGCCTGGAGACCCAAAACCATCGACCCGACACTACAGGGCTTCGGGATTTTGATGTCGGGATCCCAGAACCCCAACCCTAACCTGAACCCAGACCCTAAAACCCAAGTCCAAAACCCTGAACATCCCTTTGTGGCAACAGGCTTCGTACTTCGCCTAGAGGTCGCCCCTGAAGCTCCAGCAGCTTTACTGCTGGCCAAGAACCCCAAAAACCCTCTCTCAACCCCAAAAACCCCAAAATCCTAAACCCTCAACCCTAGAGCCCTTTGTTTGCCACTGGGCTTGGGGCTGGCCAGATCCTTGCGCGGCGGGCCTAGAGCCTAATTCCTGAACCCCAAAACCTGAGTGAGGACCAGCCTGAAAGCTTCTTGAACAAACGGAAGAGGCACTGATAGGAGATGGACGCAAGCACCACAGCCTCCGGGGAAGAAAGCTTTTGGGGTTCAAGGTTTAGGCTTTCGGTACACTTCTCGAGTTGGGTTTAGGCTTTCACGGGATAGGTTATAAGGCTCAGGATGTAAGGTAGTTTCGAAGCGGAATTTGCGGCTCCAGGTCTGCAGGGAACTCTTGTACGTCAACCGCGATCCAAAGTAAGAAGCACCCTTGTAGCAGCCACACTGATCTGTATGAAGATTACACTGCACGGGTTTAGGGGTTTAAGGTACTTCGAAGGATGTCAACCACCAAGGCCCATATGTTCAAGCTCTGTGGTCTGGTGCCCTTCGACTGCTTGGCTACGGTCGAAGTAGAAGAGCAAGAACTGTTCTGCTTTTGTCTTGTTCATTTTTCTTCGTGTTGTGGAAGCTACTCACAGCTACTCATTTTAGTTTGCTTGCTGTGGTCGTCGTAAATTATTGCTGCTGTCGCTCTTGCTGCTATGTTTCCGCTTGCTGCACTTTCCATGAGAAGGATGCCGTGCTTTATTCTGCCATCTCTACTTCTCTGCTATTATCTGCTATTCCAAGTTAATACTCTACGAGTTTCTGCAGGGCTTGAGATGCTTCAAGTCGCTCGTACTTGGGCGCGGTGGTAGTTTTGGTAGTGGTGGTGGCCGCGGTGGTGGTGGTGGTGGTGGTGGTGGTGGCCGCGGCGGTGGTGGTGGTGGTGGTGGTGGTGGTGGTGGCGGTGGCGGTGGTGGCGGTGGTGGCGGCGGTGGCGGCGGCGGTGGGGGTGGTGGTGGTGCAGAAACGCGGAACTCGTTGCCAGGACGATGTCTACTGCGCCTTTTACTTGGCCTCTCGGACCAGTACCCGTTGCAAGCATCTTGCAGCTTCACTGTTCTTATGCAGTCCTTCCTCTACTCGGTCGGCTACGTTCTCCGTTTGGATTCGGGGTTGAAGTTCATCGAGCCCCTGCAGCAGGTCTAGAGCAATCGCAGCTGATGGGCGGCAGCAAAAGTTTTCATCATCACATCATCACCTTCTGCTTCTCCGTGCGCCAGAATGAGAAGGTGGCAATAGAAGATGCGTAGCTTCGCCAAGCTTACTCCGCCTGTACTCTGCAAAGCATGATGCCATACGCCGCCTAAAACTCCTGCCAATCGACGGCAGGTCCCAGACCCTGAAAGCCTTAAAGCCCCCAAGATCACAGCCGTCACAAAGACGATGGTAATCAGGTAATCTGGGAACCTTGTAGTCAGAATAAGGTTTTGGGGTTATTATATTTTGGGTTTAGAAGGGAACTAAGCGGAGATGCTGCTGGTACTAGTAACTCTTCCGACATCCATGGTATGTCAACTCCACGCATTCGAAGCTACCAGCAGCCAGTCTTCGAACTAAGACTTCGGCCGTACTTCGGTTTAATATATATATATATATATATATATATATCCTGCATTACGTTAAGGACCCTTGACTATGGGAAATATGGTATAATATTCCTCATTACGGTTAATGCAGGATTTAAATCCATCAACAGTTAGGAGCTCGAAGCTTAGGATCTTCGGGCTTGGGTCTGAGGGTTGTAGCTAATGTAGGGGCCTTAATGATTAGAGCCGGGTTCGGGGGAATGCTATACTTTTTGAGAATGATAAGGATCGGGGAGTGCCAGAGGGGACCCTTGCAAAAGGGTACCTTTGTCCTAGGCATACCAAGACTTGTAGGGTTGGGAGTTCAGGGTATATTGTTTAGGGTTTAGGGCTGAAGAGCGATGCTTTAGACCTTTACCAAAGTACCCCGCAGCTCATAAACAGGGCCCCCTTTTTTGATCCAGCGCATGACTGACTGATGCTGTTCTTGTCCACGGCTGCCGGGCCTCGCGGGCAGGAATGCTCACAACGTGGCAGGCAAGGCAAATGTGCACAATGTCTGGAGCAAAAACCAGTGATGCGGCTCTGAGCTTTTTGTGTGGAACGCCCCGGCAGTGCCTCCCTCGGCTGTGTGGATTCTCTGATGAGAGACCTGTGCAACGTGCTGATTGGCCTAAAGGTGCCTGGCAAAGAGAGTCCACACTCTATGGTGGCAAAATCTCACTGTCAAACTGCCATGGGCAGTCTTCGCCGGTCCTTTGTTTGTGGATTGACCAGGCATACACCAAGACATGCTTGAGGGCCTCGTTGCACTCTGCAGCAGAAGAGAACTGTACATTTAAATTTAAAGCCGGTGATGCGGCCCATTTGAGCTTCCAGCGATGATGCCATTCCCGCTCTTTCGAGATGGTGCACTCCGGAGGCAGGAGTCTCTTTGCCTCTGGCTGGCTCATGCCCTCCTGAGCAAAAACCACCGCTTTGCGGCGCTGCGTGGGAGCGTCCTCAGGTTGTGGTGGCCTGGGTACAGGAGCTTTGGTCAACGGATGTTATCTTCAGATTTGTAAACCCCCTGCAGTTCAGAAGCTCCAGCGCTGGAAATCAATTCACTATTTACAAACTTCGAAGCCCCTTCAATTAGGAAACCCCGGTGGAGGACCTGGTTGAAAGGTTACATGGGCCGACCCCCATTAGGGGTCAGGTCAGGGTTCAATGCCTCAACTTGACCGAGCAACCTTTGTGGAGACTGAGAGGCCGCAGCGAGCTTTGCAAGGGCAGCCTCGCGACGCCTCTTTTTCGCATAAACGACCTCCTGCAGCTCCAAGTCCTCCCAGTCAAAATATTCCTCGTCCGCCAAAGCCTCCTCGACACGGTTGAGAGTAGTGGAGGGCTTGGCCAGGTCCTGTGGCTGCATCTGCAAGCCCTACTTGGCCCCCGAGCCGGAACAATGCCATTCTCATGGCATAGCTGACACTTTTGAAACATCAATAGAAAACTATAAATAAATGCGGAAACCCACTCTGGGCCTCATGAAGCTTCAACCTCCTTGAAAAGATCTCACGGAACTTGTCTTCGGTGAATGCGTCCCCCAACGCATGACGGGCCAGAGTTCGCATTAGATTGATCTCAGTCGCTGGTTGAGGGACCCGCAGCGAGAGATGAGAGACCAGTTTGCGCAGGTAGTACACGGTCATCTGCGGGCACCCATGCTGAATTGAGAACCTCACAGTAACAAAGTCACACCAACATGTCAAGCCAAAACCCTACGCGATGAACCAACCCACACCTGAAAACAACAGTTAAACCCTACATGTTAGGCCCCTAACTCCAAACCCGAAGCCCAAAGCCCCCTAAACCAGAAACCTTCACAGCAGCCTCTACTAAACCTTCAACTTAGGTGGGGGGGTTTCTAATAGACAATAGAAGCCTATTTCTCGTATTAAAGGGTACTCTTATCCCTACTGTTTCTCGTGGTCGTAGTTTAGTTTTGGACCTTCCTTAGGGTGTTTTGGGGTGGATTTCCTGGAATGTACGTTTGATGTTGAGAGCGGGGAAAGGTAATTTAATATTAGGAGTGCAGATTAAGGTGGTACTGTTAAAAGGTTCTGAAATCAGAAGCCATGAAACTTCAGCAAATGGCCTTTCTGAGAACCATCCTTGAACTGAACTGTCTGGCCAGATTGACTCGGAGGGACAATCTGGACGTCCGAGCACCGCCACTGAGTGTAATCCAGGATCTTATCAAACCAGACCTGTTCTTCAAATCATGCAAAATCAGCGCATCTAACATATACTAAACCAACTGCCGCTCCCTCCCCCGCGTGTTTTAAGTCCAGACCCACCACAAACCAGGTTGGGGTCGATAGCATTAATTACAGGGTTTTGGGTTTAGGATATAGGGCTTAGGTTTCAAAGCCATCCCCCGGGCCAAATTCCAGAATTTGGTGAGAAGGAAACGCAAGTGCCAGATACATAAATGCTGCTTTGTGGCAGGGCTGTCCCCAAAGTCTTGCAGATTCAACTTGCGCTTCTTCTTCTCGCCCTCGAATACACAGGTGAGCGCCAGATATCCATGGCAGCTGGTGTAGAGGACCAGGCCACGCTTCTTGTGGTCAGAGACCAAACCTCACTGAAACATGGGAACCGCTGGGCATGAAACAAGAAAACCTGATCAGAGGCACTCCAGCTGCCCGAAAAAAACAAGTTTGCTCAAACAAACATCTCAGAAGCTGCCTGGCACCAACAACAGTGATAGCCATGCCTTGCTCATGTCAGCGAAATTCCCGCCACAGGATGTCATGTTCAGAGTGGCCAAGGCTGTCTCTTTGTGGTACTTGGCATTGTGGTTGGGCCATGTTGGACGGGATGATGTGAGGGACTCAATCTGGGCCTGCTCCAATGTCAGCAACTCCTCACAGGGATGGATTGTCTTAGTTACATGATTACATACGATACAGAGGCTGTCACAAATCAACATTACGTGCAACAAGTACGTTTGGACTGATCCTGCCTTGGATGGCTCAAAAAATTTGGCCGGCAGCTTCTTCGTGGTGTGAGTTGATGAAGGAACAGGCCCAGGGAGAGGCCGGTCAAAGTCCTTGATGGTGTTGGTCGCCAAAGCCTTATTCATCCAATACAGGGTCCGGTCGCTTTTGGCTTCTACACTGGAACGGTATGTAAACACACAAGCTCTACTGTCGGCTGCGTAACTGTTGCATGCCAAACACCACGTTGTTCCAGCCGACCCCTGTCGCTCGATTTGGCTGCCCTGCGAGCATCATTGAAAAGATTCTCGAGCATCAATGTGCAGTGATGGGCCTGTGAATACTTTGTCAGGTCGACCTCGAGCAAGGGTGGCACCTCCCGAAAACCAGTTTCAGCCAGGAAGCTGAAATTCTCCCTGACCCAAACCTGGTTCGGCCACTCCATGTCTGTCAAAAGTCGACGGACTTTGCCATAGTCGGGCGAGTCAGCAGGTGTGCTTTCCAGGCGTTCCACGGCCGTGAACATGTCCTTGTGCTCAGAGAGACCCTGGGCTCTGGCAGGAGCGTCCTTCGATATCAACTTGAGGAAGCTGCGTGGTGGCATCCAGTAATTAGCCTGTGTCACAGACAAGAAGCCAGCAAGAGAGACAGCAAAGACATATAACGTTGTTAATGTCTCCCCATTGACAA